ATTCATCCTGTTTGTTGCCCCAGCTGCTGTTTTCTGAATTCAGTGTGGTGATGAATTTTCCAAGCCTAAACTTGATTGCAGTTAGACAACGAAAACTCATTCTTAAAACATTTGAAGTGATTTCCTCCAAAGAAGGAGCAAGTTTATTCCTCATGAACCCAAAAAATGTAACAAACAGTAGCTAAATTAAAACTTAGTGTTGAATGACAATAGAACAACACTTGTGCTTTCCTCACACCCAATCCAGCAACAAAAGTTAATATACCACAGAGAAGTCAAAGCTATAAAGAAAGAAACTTTCTGCAATTTTGAGAGAAAAAATGAACCTATGTATGATTTTGTTAACATATATAACAGATATATCACATATTTATGAATCTGAATGTAGTTAGGGACACTGTGAAGAGAGCAAGAGCAGCTCCAGCTTCAATCTGCATATTCTCCAAGGTCTGAAGTACCAACAACAGCATCCACAACTCTCATCAAGAAGCACAGGCTCCTGTTTAACAGCTACTCATGACTGACTGATCAGCAGTGCTGCTGAGCTCTAAAGATGGTAGGTTTTACTCCTCCCATAGTATTACCTGGCATGTATATACAGATGTATACATACAAATACCTGGTACGTACTGCTCTGAAAGTATATAAAAATATATTGAAGATGTCAATATATACATTCTGAATACTTTAATATATAATAATACAAACATTACCATGTATATTAACATAGCAATATACTGATGTATTAATTAATAACATATCAATATAATATTTTAACATACAAGAACATATACTATAATATATAAATAACAACATATTATTTAATATAGACTTCCAGAAGGGCAACCTCTCTCTTTTATTGAAAACAAGCAGTTTTGTTCTGAAGCAAGTTTAACATCTGTGCAAATTACAAGCCGCCAGGATTAGACAAACATCTGCCACCTCCAGAACTGGGATGGTATAGAAAAATGGTAATGAAAAGTACCACTATAGAAAAGTACTTAAAATTCACGCTTAAGTCTGTCTTAAAGCACACATTGAAATCGTATGTACGGCCTACTGAACAATGAACCTGACAAATCATTTTCTTGAAACAAGGCAAAAGATTCAGACAAAAATGGATAGATGTTTTTGATATTGGTAAGAATATATTTCTAATTTTAAAATATTATATTGTGAAAAAGTGATGATTCCAAACTCAAAAAATTAAAACTGTATTGTGATATAATGTGTTTAAAGTTGATTGTGCATATCAAAATATTGCAATTTATTTGTTTCTTACTATTAATATCTCATGTCATCTTTTGATGAAAAGATATGAAGATCATCTGCAAGTCAGAAAGCTGACCAGAATTTACAATGTGTTAATTATAAATAAGTATGGGTTTAAACATAGTTTATTTTCCCTCTGTCTCCTGATGTATTTTGTTTAGAGGTCTGTGTACCTAATGAGAAAATAAGCAGAGTTAAACAAAGAAAGGCTGTTTACATCAACTGTTTTGTACCTCGATCTCTATTCCTTTGTTAATTTTGTAAACAACTATAAAAATCAGTGCCCAGAAACAGTCCTGTAACTTATGTTTGAAGAATACTCCAATTTAAACAGATATAAGGCATTTAGAGTGAGCATTGAGTCCTAGCTCTGTACTGAACTCTAAGCACAAGATGATTGTTGATGAAATGTGGTCTAGTGCACACGACCATTAGCTAATACAATTAAGTTAACTCCTACCTCCTGATTGGCAGATGTCAGTTTTGTCGTCAGCTCTTCCTTCATGTTTTCCAGCTGCTGTCGAAGCTGATTCTTATCATCCTCCAAATGCAGTTTCTCCTTCTCAAACTGCTGCTCCAACTCCTTCAGAAATGAGAAAGATAGAAGAAATATTAAATACTTGCCATAAGGTCATCACAAACTACAAATGAAAACTATTCCTCCTGGCATAAATATTCCTGATCTCAGCCAAGAATTCTCTTTTCCTCAAAGTGTTAAAACAGGAACATTTAATTTCTTTTACAGTGGATGCCTTAATTTTTCAACCTTCTTATTTGACATCCTTGATTAATCACAAAATAAACAGGACTTTCTTCTCAGTTACAAGTTTCACTTTGCACTTAATTATCAAAATCATTAAAACTGTACCTACTTTCACAGTTTTTCAATCCAAATTGACAGCAGAAGTTTTCACTTTTGTATAAAATTACACTGATAACACTCTTATCCTTCAGCCTTTCCCCATTGAACTCCTACACATAATCCCCACAGAAAACAGTAAACCCTAAAATCCAGGCTGACCTTTGGGATGCTTTCAGGCTGTTACAATAAACAAAAAAGCCCCACACCATATCTATGAAATTTATGTAGAACCAAACGAAATCAACAATTAGTCTTCAAGTTCAACTATAGGGAAAAAATCAAATAACACCTCTGTTTTTAGTCAATCTCTGAAACAGCCAAATTCTGAAAACAACTCTATTGGATGAATTGTTGTTGTGGTTTGAGGCTTGGAATGGGGGTGTGACCTTCCAGCAACTGGGAGGACCCCTGGTGGGGTTGAAACCATTGTATTCCCTCCCCTTCCCACACACACTCTGATAAGAGGCAGGGAGTGGTTTCTAATATCACTCCTGCCTTGGAGCTCGGAGAGGGAGGTTGTCCTTTCACTTCATGGGACCCTGCAACCATTTCTGAGGGTTTTGTATATTTTATTTTTTGTACTTTTCCCCAAATCTTTGTATATATTATTTTCCTTACCTCCCTTTTTCGTTTTCTGTTCCTTGTTAAACAATATACTTCATTTTTTTTCCAAAGTGTCTCTCTCTCTCTCTCTCTCTCTCTCTCTCTCTCTCAGGGGGGGGAAGAGGCGAGTACATAGTTCTGTTCCGTGTGGGTCCTGCCCTGAACCTGTTTTTACACGGAACCAGGACAATTGTATTTCGCTAACACAAGCCTATGTTCTAAATGTATCTGGTAAACTTTTTTTTTTTTTTTTTTTTTTTTTAAGAAAAAACATAAGTTTATGCTTCAGCTTTATTAATATTCATAACATCTTTTCAGAAGAACAATTTCTGTCACATAATACTTGACACGAAACAAGCTGAAATTAAAAGCTTTGTTATTATATTTCAGTAGAATATACTACATCATTTATTATACCACAAAGTATTCTTGAAGAAAATACAGGTTGCCAAGGAAGCTGCTCCAGAGCCAGGTAACACCAGACTCCAAGGTTTTCTGTATGCAGCTACAGAGGCTCCTTTATTAACTCCCTCCTAGGGGTGCAGCTGCAGTGCAAGGCTTAGCATCAACTCATGAGGCTCAGATAGCTGAGAAATCAATAATGTCTCAGAAAACAGCTATAAAAATACACAGACCAGAGCCATGCATGAAACAAAGTACAACTGCAGGCATTGCTAAGATTGTGGAGACAAGGAGAGTTAAGCGCTCAAGAACTCACAAAAAAAGCTGTCATTAAAAAGTAAAAAAAATAAGAAAAACCAGGGAGCTGGAAGACAGCAACTTAGTGTCATTGAGCTCATTCCCAGAAGCAACAAAAGCCAATCTTTCCTCATGAAAAAACAGAGACTCCTCTGGTATTTTGCTGTGGGTGGTAAGGAAATGAAACTTAGTGGCTTGTTAGCTCTAGCACTCCATTAGGGCGTGCAATAGCCAACAAATAATTTGTGTATTAACTGCTTGCGCAATCTCTTTGTTCATGGCACAAGTCAGACAGTGACAAAACAGAGGGTTACACTTTCTAGAACATGTTGCTGTACAACATAAGTGAACAAGGGCTCGTTTTCTTCATTGGGCCCAGCTCGACCACCACGTGGGACAAAAGATGCTTGCTAAAGGAGACTCGCTCAAGTTTTCTTGTTTGCAGTGTGAAATGTGCTGGCTGCAAAATTTCACTAGTGCTACTCAGACCCTATTCTGATAACCGAGCAATTAGCTCTTTTATGATACTTGTCAGTCCATCTGTGCAGCACTGCAAAGTTACTAGCAGCTCTATTTTCATAAGCCTCCTAGGAACTGATGCCATTTTTACAGCTCATTTTAGAGATGCAAGAATTGAAGCAAAGCCATTTAAGCCATTTCTTGAGTCCTATTCTCACTCTTTAGATTCTCCTCTGTGCCATTATTTCCAAACCCCAGATGCCTTTCAGTCTTCCAGTAAATCCTCACGTCCTCTGTCCCAAGGCTCCTTGTACCATGCTTCTTCCTCACACTAAGTTCAGCTATTCTCTGCATTTGAAACTCTTTCTTCCTTTAACTACTCAAACACAATATGTACTTACAGAGACAGGTTTGACCAAGAAGACAAGTACAATGACTAAGATTTACTGAGATCTTGATCCTGACATCTTTTGATTGCTAAAATCAAGTTTCACATTTCTCACATTTATCGAGCTGTTCCCTATTTTAGCTAATTTAATGATTAAAAAACATTTTGATATCCCTTTGTTTTATACTTAACATTAATTTAAATAACAAACAAAAGAGAACAAATGAAAAGGAATCCCACATCTTACCAAACAAAAATATTCCTAGAAACCCTTAAGAGACATTGCTTTAATAATAGGCATGTTTAAATGCCATACAAAAAATGCATGCAGTACAAATTTAAACTCTACTATTTGCTTTTTGTAATATGTTTGATTATAAAGAAAACACAAACCTACCATCTGCAGCTTTTTCTTATCCTTATTAGCATTAGTGTGTGCAGCCTCAATTGCAGTATGGTGTTTCCAAGCCAATTCTTCTAATGTCTTGGAATGAGCCTCCTTCAACTGTGCAGCCTCTCCTTCCAGTCTCGCTTGCAATTTAACCAGCTCCTTCTCATAATATTCACGTTGTGTCTCCCTTGCTTCATTTACTTTCTACAAGAGGCAGAGAAAAATAAAGTTACTTCTGTCAAACAGTAAAATCCAGACAGGAGGAGAAAAAACAAAAAAAACAAACCCATTAATGCACTAACTGAATAACTCAATCAAAAAGGCAGTTTCAATATATCCATGCAAACTCCTATAGTCATATAAAAATCAAATATTTAATCTGGGAAAACAGCAGTTGGTTATCAAGCCTATAGATAATTTCAGTTCAGGATTTTTAAAGTTGTTCAGCACATTTTCAGAGAACAGATTTTTAATTTTTTTTACTTTTCTCCTTACTGAGACACTTGATACGAAGCATCCACATGTTGGGTCATAAATTAAATGAAATTGTTAAAAGATGTCCAAAGCAGTCCGATCATCATCTAACCTGACTTCCCTCTATTCTCACTTTACACTCTACATTAGTAATGGCATGTTGCTACATGAGATATACTCAGAACATACTATTACTAGTCCTAGTCCAGTCATATCAAACAAGTATTAAATCAATCAAGTTTTTTTTTTCTGAGAATTCCAAGTGATTTGTTTTTATTCAACTAAAGCAAATAAACTGTTTAACCTTTTCCAAGGCCAGAATTTGCTGCCTTTGTCGCTCATCCAGACTTTGTGTTTTGCTTTGTAGTAAGTTCCTTTCCTCTTCCAGTTGGGACAGTTTTTCTTTTAACCTAGATTTTTCCGATTCCAAATCTCTGATTGTAACTTCTTGAGTCATTTGAGTAGCTTGAAGCATTCCAATGTGACCTAGAAACAAAACAACTTTTTAATACCTCACAGCATTGATTTCACATAACTGAAGTACACATTCCTACTTCAGTGATTCCTAGATGTACAACTCTAGCAAAACCTTTGATATGGATCTCCACCACCTTCACTGCAGTTCGTACCTTCCCCTCCACTTCTCCCTTTTTATTTTATTGTAAAATGTCCAACAACAGTAGAGTGCTTGCTGATGGAATGCCTTTAGTTTCCATTTTCCTGCTTCAAACTTGCATATTGACTCCAAGAGAAAGCAGAGGTAGGCAACAGTATGAACATGGACAGTCTACCTTGAAGAATGTGCCCCACCTAAACCCACACATTTTTACCCCGCAGTAAGTCACACAACAGAACACAGAACACTGAAGTTTAATAGTAAAGTTATTATTTATTCAAACTCCTAATTTATCCAGCATGCTAGGTATAGCAGCTAAAGCTATGTAAGACTTCTGGCATTATGTTTTGTTTATTTTGCTATAGGGATATGACTAAAAGATGTAACAGAATGCAATTCTGACAATAAGAAAGTACAACCTAAATCCTTGCAGATTAGAGGCTTGCTTTTAATTTCATATACATGTATTTAAAAAAAAAACAAAAAACAAAGCTAGACAGCATAATCATTTGTCCATCACATCAACAGTGGAAAAAGATTTATGACTGCAGAAATTTTTGCCCTTGTTCTTCTGAATTCATATTTGTATTACTGAAAAGACTATTACGGGATAACTGACTAATGCAAAGAAACCCCTGTTATTCTGGGAAATGCTCAGGAGGGACAGAAGACTATTCTGGAAAAGAGAAGGTTGCTCCTAGGTTTGTTGAACTGAAAGACAAGAGAAGGGATATTCTCCCATTATTTCAGCATCTCTGTAGAACCATCATGAAGTCAGACCTAAGCTGACGTACCATGTTGGAATGGCTCCTTTTGCTAGAAACACCCTACTACCCCTTTCATGAATTGCATGACCTAGGCATGTTGAAAATACACCTCTTAAAGATTAGCATATTCTTATTTTCTTAGCATATGCTTATTTTATTGTAAGCACACAAACACACTGATCTAAAGCTTTTGTCCTAGCAATAGTGACACACACTAGAGGTTTCCCATCCCTCATGCTCTACACAGAAGGCATGAAACAGTAGTTTCCTTTCAAGTTTGAAATCTCAGGATAAATGGAAGTATATATTAATTTTTCGTAATAAACTTAATACAGTATTCTGAAATTACAATATAGTGAGTAAATATTTTGCATTGTAATTATGAGAATTTAGTTTCTTTGGGGCAGTATTTTTGTCTTCCAAGTGTGACCTGAAATTCAAAGGAGATGGCAGTGGGCCAGTGTCAGAAACCATTTCCAAACAGGCTGGTAATCAATTATACCACACCGTAATGACTTGGTGGCACGACTGTAAACAGGGGTCCTGGTTCTTTTTGCACAGTGGGATGCAGTAAAGCAAAGATGTACTACAGACAGTGACAATTGGCTCAGCAGCAGCATAGACACACTGGAATTTCTGGTAAAGCTGAAAGCCTCCCATGCCAGAGGAGACCAGTGCTGTACTCATAGCATAGCTGACTCCATGCCATCAATACTACTGAAAAACACAATGAATATTTAAGTTTGTTTCAAATAAATCTGGGGTTAGCTGCTGAACCCTTTCCCATGCTTCTGCCTAGGGAACAGAACAACAGTGAAGGACTGTATGGGAACAGTTGGGTTTTCTTCCCCTCCCAACAGTCTAAGGTCATGGATAATTTGTGAGTGCCTCAAATGCAACTCTTTGAAGGGTCAGATTGATGATTCATGGTGTTCTTCACAAGAAGCCCATTCCCTTTAACTATTTACATGTAGTAGGACCTTGCAGTCTTGGGTCCCTGCTGGCCTCTATATTATCCAAACATATACCCTAGACTATTCCCAGCCTTTACCTTAGCTAGCTCATCTATGCCACTTGTCCCCACTGTGAAGCTCCCAGGCAGCAGACACACTCAGTCCATCTGTAGGAACTGCTTAGTTATTTAAAGGACAAAAATAAAGCCTTGATCACGTCACATTCACATACACAGTTTGAGGGCTATGCCACATGTAGCCATCTGTAATAGTAAACTATTAGAGTAATAGTAAGTATAGTGTTATTTATAGTATATAAAATAAACAGTAAACTATTACAGCATTAGCAAGTGAATGCTGTGAAGTATTTTCTGGCCCTAAGGCAGACTGGCACAGTCTGGCAACATCCCAGACATCAAACCAAGGTGATCTTATCAAAACTGACTTTTGGGAAGGGCCTCTGGGCTTGTGCTAACTTGTGTGGAAAATAATTGGGTGCTTCTACGAGTGGTCTAGTTGAACAAGGCCACAGATAAGGCAGTGCTTATTTTTAGCCTACAATCCCACCTACAGTATAGTTAACCAAGTTCAAGTACTTGGGCCCATGCCCTAGCACTAAGTGGTTTTGTAGAGAGACAACACCAATAAGCAGAAACACACGTGTACAGGAAAATCTTAAACCATTTTTCATGCCTCTCCATAGGCTAATGAGCACAGAGAAGTCAAGAAAACAGCTACAAAGAAAACCCTAACAGATCCATTAACCAATAAGCTGTGAGTCTTCTGACAGTAGGTGCATAGGAAAGTACTGCAGTCTCAGCAAGAAGACAATGCAACTGAAGAAGGATGGAGGAACAGGGAATAGACAGAGAACAGATAGGTACACGGCAGAAGCATTCTGTACAAGTGTGGTTAAGGCAGGAAATTCCAAGGCCTAGAAGATGCGTACATGCTGTATTAAGCAGCACATATGAAAAAACAGGTACACAAAAAAAAGTCTTAAGTACAATGCATGCGATATAAAAACAGGTTTGAAAAAAAGAAAAAAGTGTCAGAAATCCCTACAGACATCAAGCCTGCATGAAGTTAACAGAAAAAGAAAAGGCTAGAATAAACAGGTAAGGTTAATTTCCAGATTAAGTTACTGACATACATACTGGCTTTGAGAACAAGATCAGTGGCCTGCTGCTGTAAGCGCTCTCTAGCAGCTGCTAGCTCACTTTCCACTTCTTTATGTTTGCTTAACAATGACATCTCCTCCTCCTTCACATCATCTAGCTGTTTCTGAAGAACCTAGAAGAAGCACAGTGTAATGCCTGTAATCATTATACACTATCATGTTCATAATTAAATAAGGATTAGATTAAAATAATAAGTTTACATGTTCTAATCACCTCATTCTACCTGCCTCACAGAAAGACAGACTAAATACAGAAAGAAAACTCAAAGTCTTGGGAACAACATATCATTGGTCTCACCTGAACATTGTTTTCTGCTGTACCAAGGGCCACCTGAAGTTTCTGGCATTTTTCCCGTAGACTGGCAGCTTCATCCTGGACCATTTGCAGTTCAGTTTTAAGCTTTCCCAGATTCTTCCGTAAAATACTTTCTTGGTTTTGAAATTCTTTTCTTAGCTCTGCTTCTTTTTCTTTGCATGCATGCAGACTTTCTGCTGTAAAAAGCTGAGATCTTTTCAAAGAATCAAGTTCATGTTCATAGAAGGACTGTGCTTTGCTGAGTTTGCTTTCGTAGTCCTCAATCAGTTTTTTCCTTTCCAGCCTTAACTCTTCAACTTTACTGTTCAAGTCTTCCAGCTCTAGTCTATGCAACTCCTCTAGCTTTTCTTGCCCCTTACTTAAAGTAGCATTCTGACTCTGTTGAGTCTTCAGAAGTTCCTGAATCTCAAGCCTATGGGCAGCTCTCAAGTCCTCCAGAGCTGTACGCTTGTCCTTCTCATACTGCACTTGCAACTGTATGAAACTTCGTAACCTTTCCTCGAATTTCTTTCTGATCTCTTCTACTTCTCTTGACATGGTCACTACACGTTGGACATGCTGAGCTTCTGCACAAAGCTGCATATCTTCAACTCTACCCTTGTATGCTTCAAATTCTGTCAAGGCCTGATGTTTCATCTTTTTATGATCTTCCAGTGACTCTTCTAAAACTTGGATCTTTCTCTTGAGATCCATTTCTTCTGCAACTTTACTTTTATACTGCAAGATTTTCTCTCTAGTCTCTGCAAGAATTTGTTGAATTTCTTCTTCATGAGCATCCTTAAGAGCTTGGATAGCAGCTTCATGTTCATCATTTTTCGTGTTCAAAGCATATACTACCTACAGACATGAAATAACACTGAATTACAAAAAAGGCCATCGAGTTATTTGTCAAATCATAAGAAAAATCATCTAGGTGCTCTGAAAGTTACTTTGACATTCTGGCAGGTTTTCATGATACCGATAGGACACCAAATGTCCTTATGAATATGGCTACATATAAGTTGTATTTGTCATTACAATTTTATACACAGTAGAATAGTCTTTTATACTTTTTAACCTGTAATTTTGCTGATAAAGGTTTTGCCTTTATATACATGTTATTGCTGTAAATACTACTGGGGAAAAAAAAAGCACTGAAAAAGAAAACTATTTAGACAAATTAAAAGCATAGCCTAAAAAGAAATCTGAACAGAGAATAAAAGAGTATTACACAGAGCACACATGAAACATGAAATAAAATTTGAATAGAAGTCAAATCTCAGACTCCTCCTTTCAAATAATAACTGTTCTCAAATATTTAATTTTAGAAACACCTACAATGTCAACATTAGTTGCTCTGGTTTGTCGGCTTGATACTCGCCCAGACAGAATTTCTTTCTTGACAGCTTATCTAGTAGGCTTCCTATGTAGTTGGATCTCCCAAGGTCTGAGGTCCATTATTACATAAGCTCACCAACTCTCCAGCTAATAATTCAGCAGAACAGAAAAGTAGCAAGCAGGGCAGCCAACCATTTGGTAAGCCCAGGGAGCTATAAAGCAGCTCAAGTTAGCTGTGAAAGCAGAAAAGCTACATAACTTTCAGCCACAGTTTTAAAAGAACCAGGTACATCCTATGGGATGTTTCAATTGCACCACAACATGGTAGGTTGCCTTTTTGGTTTTTATCACTAATATAGAGGTATGGATAAGCATGTGTGTATGAACACATATAATGTATATATCACTGAATAAATACTCATGCAGTACATAGATTTAATAAAATACTTTGTACTCCAAGAACTCCAGCAAATCCCCACACTTCCCAGGTATGTTATAGGCAACAGAACTATAACCACATCTGAACAGGAAAACAGTCTCCTAATTAGAGTATTTTGTGTATCTTAAAAATGAAGAAGAAACAACAAAAATGGACAACAAAGAAGCAGCAGAAAATTTAGAAAAAAAGTTGCCCTTTCAAGATTTTTATGTGTATGGGGACAGAACATGATCCCGTTAGCATTCAACCAGGCAACAGAGGAAGACTGCACTGACTTCATCTCAGGGCCAGAAAATACAAAGAAATGCTCTTTTTAACAGAAGCTCAGACACTGCATTCTAAATTTTATTGTCTGAAATAATGAGCACCTACCATTCTGTTACCTGTTCCAAAAATTTAAAAAAGGGTAAGCTTTAGATTAAAAATATTATTTCCATTGTTTCAGAAAAAAAAAACAAAACTAAACAGTCTCACTCATCTTTGTATAGTAAGGAGATAATTAAAAAATGCCCTTCACCCAAGACCTCAACCTTTTATATCCCCATGGTCTTTGGTGATGACAACAGTAACTTCTGATACAAAGCTTTCTCCTCCCTCCTGTCAACAACATACAGTCTTGAACATATCAACAAGATTTACATACTCAACATCCATACTCTTCAACATACATACTCGTGAATCCCAAAGGTTATTTTCCCTGTCGTTTAAATGGTGTTTAACTCAACTCCTTTGTTCATATCAGAAATGGTTTGAAAACTGATATTCCTATTTTACTTTTTTTTAAGACATACATGTAGTATCTTGCATGAAGATTTTTGGTTAGAGAAGCTAAACAACATAGTTAAAAAGACATTATGAAAAAAAATCTCACGCATGATCATCAGGTTATTATAGTAAGTATCTGCAGAACACTAGTTCAAATCCCATGCTCAAAACAGCTCTTGACTCCTGTCTTTGTGCATAGAAGTGTCATAACATTTTTCCTCACCTCAGGCAGTGTTCCAGTCTCAGGATAACCAGCATTATAATCTATAATAAGGACTATAAGCACTATAATAAGGAAGTATAAACCATGTAATATTTTCAAGGGTATTGTGATGTGGCAACAGGACCCCCACTGAAAATTCCAAGCAAAAAAAAAAACTTTCAATATGCAATGATGGATTCAGAAAATATCTAAGTTCTCACCATCTACATACTCCAAACAAAAAACCCAAAGAGCATCTACAAATTAAGTAAGCACCAATCAATCCCTAAATGAAGGACATGGGTGTCTTATGGAAAAATGTATAAATGAAACAGAAATGCATGCAACTGAATCACAACATATGTTCTTCAGCCACTTGAATTCCAGCTCTATCGAAATTACCCTATTATAAATCCCACTATTTTTAAAGTAATGGAATGGCTATATTAGAATATATAAATGAGAATTTGGTGTACTGTATTAGCATATGAATGTAGAAGAGAAAAAGTCTGTACTAACTGAAGCAAAAGCAACCTAACAGCATTTCAATGAAGTAAAAGTAGAAACTGAAATACATTGGAACAAATTAATACATCTGAAGTTGTAGCTAAAGTAAATAGCTCTTGCTAAAAAAAAAAAGAAAACTGAAAGGCAGGAAGGCTGCAAAAGTTGGAGGCGGGAAAATAAAACAAATTATGTGTACCCTAGTCTTAAATCAGAGGATGAGCAATTTCCTAAGCACGCCTGTAAATGCTTTTAAAAGTACTTGTAGATTTTTCAGTGCAACTATATATTACTAAGAAGCATAAACTTCTCATTTGAGTAATCCATGTTTTTTTCCAGCTCCATTCTAAATGCATCATACATGCTGCAGTTCTTATCAGATGACAGGAAAAAATTTAATCATGCTTTACTGTATTTTCAGTTAGCATATCATTCCAGAGGTACAGGCAGAACCATACTATCTCCACGAATACTGAGACTGCCAGCTAAAGGCTTTAATACTTTTTATAAAAAACAGTAACATAATTATTTATTATCAGGAACCTACTGAAGCACTGTGTGCCTTGGTCTGAAGAACAACAGAGTAAGTTAGCAACAATAACAATAATAACTTTTTTTATGTCAATAATTGAGTTTTGGAATGTTCAGTCACATTCTGTGTGGTATGGTTAAGTAAGACTGTTGCTGCATTAGTGTTGGTGTCTTGAACTGCATGGAATACAAACAACCACCAGCGTTCAACACTGTTTGTGGCTGAAAGACCCAAGTTTTACTGTTCAGCTGAGAAATATTTTTGACTCCAAACCAGATGTTATGGCTTGGAGAGCTGACCAATTCTTGCATGGTCAGCTGTACTTGGTAATCTGTTCCTGCCAGTAATTTAGTCACACTGGAATGTTTTTCTAATTAAACATGTGTAATTGACCTTAATACTAATATTAAGTGCCAAATATATTTTGCAGCACAGAAGGATCTGCAAAAATGTGTGTGGTTCATTCTCTAATTTTACATGGAAGCAGAAACTGACAGCTATGAGAAAAAACAAACAAAATACACACTACTACACATTACACAAATATGTGTAATATTATGTTTCTGGTAAAGCTTCATTTTGGACTTTACACGTAGGTCCCTGGATCAGAGCACTGTACTCAGCCCAGTTCAGGTGCAGTGTCTTGTTCACAGTGCTGCTGGGGCACCGATGCCTCTGAGCACTGGTGCTGTCCTTCCCTGCCAGTCTGAAACACTAGTCTCCTGAGACGTCCCAAGACTTTGCCAGTGCTGCACACCTCCTGAATGCACTACACAACCACAGTGCCAGCAAGGAACTGCTCCTGCGTTACCCACTGGGGATTTGGAACACGCGGACCAATGAGCCTGAGCTACTCTTGCAGTCTGTGGGGAGATAAGAACTGCTAGGTGCAGAAGGCTCTACCAGGAAACTGTTACGAGGGTTTTCTGAAGATAAGTCAAATCCCACAGATACAGCTGGATGCAAATAGAAACATTTACCCTGAAACATTGACAAGAAACAACAAAAAAACACCAGGCATTATTATGAATTTATTTTATGTAGAAATGTATCCTCTGCTACAGTCCATAATGATCATACTTTTGTTACAGTGGGTATTGCATTAATTTTTCCCCTTTTCTTCCTGTTGTTCAAATAATGCCAAACAATAACAAGTATGCTATATTTATGCATTTAATATGTACATATTATGATCAATGAAAGGTCAGTCTAAGACAAAATAACCAATTTAAACCCCAGAAAAAAAATACTGGTTTTACTGGACAAATTTCTGCTCCTTAGTATGTTACAAAAATGTAATAACACAGGAAATACTTTGAAGTTATTTAAAACAGTCTTTCAAAAAAGCTATTCACAGCCACAGATTACATTTTTACAAATGCATTACTACGTACAAAGCAGACAGTTACAACATAGCATTTTATTCCATCTCATGCATTGTTATCCAGATAGTGCACACCACAAGATAATATAGGAATATTTTTTCATGTAATAATCACTGAAATTGTATTTTTTAATACGACTTTTTTTTCGCTTAAATTGTAATCAAGAGACAATGCTGCTCAGAGCATTTAATGGGGAAACCCAAGTTTCTACAACCCAAGTTGCTACACTAGAAACCTCCCTTTAAACAGATGTATTATGTATACAAAAAAAAATATCCCAACCCCAAAAGTTATGTATGGTCATCTCTTTTTTTCATCTTTTTTTTTTTTTTTAAAATCCCTTCATCTAAACACACCTTTTGTTCCCTTATGCAAAATACTGCAAATACAGATGCTTTGCCAATCCAGTCCTTTGCACTGTAGGCAACACAACAGAAACAAGCCTAGAACTTTAGGCCAGAATTCCTTGGACATCAGAGAAGAGGTGGAAGGCTGGCCCATGTTCATCAGCTATCTGGTTCACTGCAAGTCTTCTTAGGCGCCTGAGCCACTGAGGGACACAGCACGATGAGGAGGGAAGAGACAAGTATTGTCTGCAGCTGTAGTGTCCCCTGCCAATACCATCTCTCCAGGAAAGCTGGTCTGACAACACCAGCCTGCCTTTGAAAATTAAAAAAAAAAAAAAAA